TGATTTTGGAGTGGCTGGACAACTTACCGTGAGTATTAAACCTATCTGCTTTAATGTAGAAAAATTGCATACATTTTTTGTTAAAGGTTTGGACATTACTGATTATTTATTATTTTTTAGAATAATAGTTAAGTCATCGAAAATATAAAAGAACCAGCGCTTTTCTTTTTTGTTTGTTTGTCTGTTTGTACGTACGTTGATGTTATTGAATTTTCTTTATTGGTCCAGTTTCTCTCTAAATTAGTTCCTGTAAAGATTACATACCAGACTCTCTACTGTAACATGGTCCCATATTAGCATAAAACTAAGATACATAACATAAACATTAAATGTAATTAATAAAAATGTAATTCAGTTTAAATTCAGATTTAGTAGTTTTAGCTTCTTCAAAAAAAGCCCAGATTATATATATTCTTTCTGAGTCCAAATCATCCTTAAAAAAAAAAGTTGGTTTTGAAAAAAAAAAAATATGACAAAACTATTTATGTTTGACTACAAAACTAATTTAAAGCATTCAGATCAAACGTTTTTCTCTCATCTATGTTCTTCTAATATATTTTTCGGTCAAGTTTGTCCAAACTGGTGGTGTATCATGTTACATGAATTAATGTAATTATGTCTATTTATACTGACCACAATAGGACACAATGGCAAAGAGGAACACAGTTATCGGGACACCCTTCTGGATGGCACCAGAGGTGATCCAGGAGATCGGATACAACTGTGTGGCTGATATCTGGTCTCTCGGCATCACGTCCATAGAAATGGCTGAAGGAAAGCCTCCTTATGCAGACATTCATCCAATGAGAGTGAGTGGAACACACCGAGAAGTCTTTGACTTGACATTTTGACAAGAAACCGGATGGTGACTCTGTCTGTTTTTGTTCTTTTGTGTCATCAGGCTATTTTTATGATTCCCACAAACCCTCCACCCACGTTCCGCAAGCCAGAGCTGTGGAGTGATGAATTCACAGATTTTGTGAAGAAATGTCTGGTGAAGAACCCAGAGCAGAGAGCGACGGCCACTCAACTGCTGCAGGTGTGTGATAAGAGCCTTGTATTGCTAACTAATAGTTCCTGTTTATGATTCATACAGTTACTAATTCACTCTCTATTTTAGTTTGGGGGTTTTCCATGAAGTAGTGTTTATAAACATCTAATATACTTTGTATTTTGTCTGTTTGGCAGCATCCCTTTATAACCAATGCTAAACCAGTGATCCTCCTGCGGGACCTGATCACAGAGGCCATGGAGATGAAGATCAAGAGACAGGAGGAGCAGCAGAGAGAGCTGGAGGAGGAGGATGAGAACTCTGTGAGTTGCATATCAGTTGTTCAGTTTACGATGAGCTCAGCATTTGTGTTTTAGCTGATGTCATATGTGACTGCATTCTACAGGAGGAGGAAGTAGATTCCGGCACCATGATGAAGTCTAGTTCGGAGAGCGACGGCACCATGCGGGCCACAGGGACCATGAGCGATGGCGTTCAGACCATGATCGCGCACGATGGCACAATGCTGGAGTCTGACCTGGGCACCATGGTCATCAACAGCGATGATGAGGAAGAAGAGGAAGATCTCGGCTCGATGAGGAGTGAGCCTTTATGTCTTTATCTTTTAATTAACATTTTTGTGGCTCTTTGAGAAATGTATAATCTGATGTTTTATCCTCTAAATAGGAAATCCTACATCTCAGCAAATTCAGCGTCCATCCTTCATGGACTACTTTGACAAGCAGGACTCAAATAAAGCTCAAGAGGGTTATAACCACAACCAGCAGGACCCGTGTTTAATTTCCAAGACCGCTTTCCCTGATAATTGGAAAGTGCCGCAAGATGGAGATTTTGATTTTGTAAGTGCTTTGATGGGTGTTTTGATTCGTTTTGTGTTAGCTGCATGATTAATTGTTAAAGTTCGTAATCTCAGTTCAAACACCCATGCAATCTTCTTTCTAAATGACAATGATACGGCTATGTGTATTAAACCTTTGACCGGTACGATCGTAGCAGAACATTCAAATCTTCGTTGGTGTTGCCACTGACCCAGAGAGAGCAGTTGTCATGTATAGGTATGAAAATTAAATTGACGCTTTAAATATTGTAGCAAATACATCATAGCACCTGACCTGTAGGTGGTAACAAGTGACTGTTAAATTTGTTTTATTTGTCAATGAATCCAAAAGACATACTTCCCCACTATACAGTAGGCGAAAAACAGCATGTGACAAAAGAAGTATGTCCGAATTCACTGTACTAAAAGAGAATGCAAAAGGAACCTGGTTGACCTAGCGAGATTCTGAAGTGCATACGATGGACACTTTACTATCCCATGAGGCCAGAGGAGAGGATTTGTGAATGGTAGTGAAGCGAAGCAACTGATGCTGATTGGTCACATGATATTGACAACATGGCGAATGTAGTACGTCCAGATTACATTCATATAGAACATACTTTTTTAGTGACAGCGAAGTAATTACTTATTCAAATTATTTACCTACTCAAGAGTGCGATTTCGGGCGCAGCCATTCATTCACAAGATTCATTCAAAAATGTTGATCATTCACTCAAGCTTTTTTTTTTTTTACATAAATATTTTTCTTAAATAGACAGCAGCAATTAACATTTTGTCAGAACCTCTAGTAAATGAAGTTATTAAGGTAAACTAAACTTAAATAAGTTTAGTTGTCTATTCAGATTTGTGTTCCTCAATTTATCCAGAATCGTGCAGATCTATTTGTATGTCTAAAGCTGATTAAACTGAATGAGTTTTTCTGTCTTATGTAGCTGAAAAACCTTGATTTTGAGGAGCTCCAGATGCGTCTCACTGCTCTGGACCCCATGATGGAGCGAGAGATTGAAGAACTGCGGCAGCGCTACACGGCTAAAAGGCAACCCATTCTCGACGCCATGGATGCGAAGAAACGCAGACAGCAGAACTTCTAACCGACTTCACAGATGCTGAAGCTTCAAAGCTGGCTGGCCAGATCTTATGTTCCCTCCTGTGTTCAATCTTTGTACTGATGCATCTTATTCTAAACTCCTGCTGTTTCTACTTTAGAAGAAGGCCCTAGTGGATGTATAAAACAAAAAAATCAAGATATAATACTCAATCAAGAACTTTTTTGTTGTTCTTTAGAATTCAAATGTCATCCTAAATAGAGAAGATTGAGTCTCACCCTCACAATATTATGAAGTTTATGCTTTTCTCTAATTTCCAAAAACTATTTCAGCCATCTCTACATCTGTGGTTAATACTTTTCTTATACTGTAAATGAAGCCAAGGCAAAAATAACTGTGATAATGTAACGTTTTGTGGCTGAATTCATAAGAAATGCTGGTTGAACTGCTGCAAAGTCATTTTTAGGTGTGAATGGATTATTAAACCAAAGACAATCAAAAGCAGACAATGCCTTAGTGCTTGTTAACCCTTTTTTTGAAGTTTGCGTCACCAAGCTTTAGGTTAGTATTCTGCTAATATGGGACCATGTTACAGTAGGGATCTTTTTCATGGAATTAATTTAGAGAAACGGGACCATTACTGCAGCTATGCTTCCCATTTCATCAAAATTCCTCTTCAGCACAAAGTAAGGTTTGAAACATCTGTCCACAGCTTTGTAAATATGCATGGCTTATTTATGCTCAATGTCATTTTCTCAGTTTCTGAATGTTTCTGTGTCATCTTCCCTATGTTTTCTTCACTGCCACTGGCTCTTTGATAAAGTGTGGCAAATGTTTGTGTGAGGAAGTGAGTGAGAACTACTTTTCCTGTGCCCCATTTTAAAGTTCTTGCTTTATCTCAGGGGTTGCTCGGCTTCAAACTCTTTCTTCTGGTCTGTTTCAAAGATTTCAATGCAGTGATATTGTGTTTCTCATTATGGGAATGGTACCATCATTATTGAGTCTCTCCATACCTACCATAAGCAATACGGCAACTCAAGGACAGTAATGTAACAATGCCAGTAATGTGAATGGCCTAAAATGTTACTGAATCTTTTAAGAGAAGGATGTAGTTTTTAAATGACTCTTAACAATGTTTATTCCCTGATTGTGGACTGATGATGTCTATGAATCTGAGCTGGTTTGAAGTATAGTCAGTTAATAATTTTAATTTTTTTTCTTTCTTTAAAATATAGTTAGGGATGTTATCAATGCCTTACATTTCCTGCAGTTGTGAGTTATATCAGTTTGTTTCATACTCTGACATTTACATAGGCACGTCTTTACTGAACACTCTAATTTATTTTTGCATTATTCCTATTGTATGTTATTTTTTGCACCAGAGTTTTTGCATTTTATCAGAGTTTTTGAATAAAGGTCTGTTACTCGTCTCATTAATTCACATTTGGACTTCTTTAACAATATATTTTAGCTATTAAATATACAGAGAAACCTGGACACAAAAGGGAAATTGAAATTGTGATTGTTACTAGAAAATGAATAAAAATGTAGTCAAGTAAAATCTAGTTGTAATTTTTTCTCAGTTTAACATATTTGATCAGATTCGGAAATTGTTCTTTTTGAAGCAAATGTCTATCTATCTATTAAATTATTACATTTGCTTGTGCAGAAGTTTGGCAGAAACAACAACTTAACAGTTTGGTGTTAAAAAAGCATAATACTTAGATTTTTAACTACGAACACAAAAAATTCCAAGTAATTAAGAGAGTAAATTAAGTAATTTAAACAGTTATACCGGGCATTAAAACTATCCACTCCACTGCCTTTCGTGAAGATGAATTCATCCACTGGTTACACGAATTACCGTAATCACTCTATTACACAGACTCTGATTTATGAACTTCTTCCAAGTGCCAACATCTATATTTAATTTAGCCTATGCATAAAGATCCGAAACAGATCATTTTAAAGTGTATATTCTGTCTTCTAATTCTTTCCTTTAAATAATAATTATAGTTCCGAACTGTGCGAAATGTAAATGAATAGGTTGCATCTAAACTAAAGCCTCTATATTTGGATTGTTACGGTAGGAATCGCTTACGCCTACTGGAAGTGATTCTCTACAAACCTGCTTGCTTTTACCATAGACTTTTACACTCATTCATCAGCTCAACTGGTAGTTAACTTGTGATCCACGGGTCTCTCAGTGTTCAAATATGTCTGCGGTTATTAGGAAGATCATTCACACTGCAGCAGCTCCTGCCGCGATCGGGCCTTACAGGTGAGCAGTCAGATGGTTATGTTCCGCAATAATAAACGCACACGTGACATGCTCTAGCATATGGATAAGTGTGTTTTACCCATATACTGTAAAAAAAAAGTTGTACCTAAAGCACCGACAGTTATGAATTTTACAGTACGTCTAGTGCAACAAAAGGCCTGACATAAGTTGCAGTGCAATATTTGTTCGGGGCGTGTCTTTAGACAGCGCACTCAGCAACTTTGTGCTTTAGATTTTTGTGCAAATTTTCATATACTGTTTAGACGAGATGTCTTCTGTTCATAGAAAAATCCCATATACAGCTAAAGCCCCTGTTAGACAGGGCATATACAGGTAAGATTCTTGTCAACCAACTTTAATGTTAGAACACATTTAGATTCCAAACTTTTCTAAATTGTATAATTGGGATTGTATGCATTATAATATGATTTTGGAAGTGCTCCATACTACAACTGTTTCATCATTTTTAACAAGGGGCTTTAACCCCCAATATAAAAAAGTGTCTCTGTAGCACTACATTTTTGTAACTTTAATTCAGTATTTGCAAACAAAAAAGCGACAGGTTTTTAGATTATTATTTTTTTATAAAAATATTTTGCATATAATAACTTGAATGTCATTACAATGGGGGTGTTTGTGTTTCGACCAATAGACAGTAAGAGGAGGTGTCAAGTTCATTGATTTGACCAAAGGTCAACCTGCTATTTTTCTTGTTTGGCATTTCTGGCACATTTTATATAAGCATATATATATCGCCAAGGCTGCACTTATTTAATAAAAAAATACAGTAAAAACAGTAATATTGTTTTCTATTTTTAATTTATTTTAATTTTCTATTTTAATATATTGTTAATATATATTATAAACACATGATCACAGAAATCATTCTTAATATGCTGATTTGGTGCTAAATTATTAATAATGGTTCTTTTAATTATCAATGTTGAAAACTGCTTAATATTTTTTGTTGAAACCATGATAAATTTTTTTTCCAGGATTCTTTGATGAATAAAAAGTTCAAATAAGTTCAGTCACTTGGGTTGAATTTAATGCATCCTTGCTGAGTAAAAGGATTGTTGTTGTTTTATTTTATCTAACTTACCCCAAGCTTTTGAATAGTTTCCACAAAAATATTATGCAGCACAACTGTTTTCAACATTGGTAATAAGTAAAAAAAAAAAAAAAAAAAAAAAACTTATTTATTCCAAACTTCTGACAATACATTTCACTTTATGATCAACTGACACATCATTCAAACTAGCATGAATCAAGAGATTTGATGTGTGTGGTGACCGACGATCTTCGGTTTCCTTGCAGTTGTGCAAAACCACACTTGTGTAAAAAGAACCAGCATTTACTCCATTATATAACTTTCTGAAGTAGTCTTGTATTAGACACATATTAACTTGGACTGTGATCTCAAGCTGAACTTCTATGTGATCTTGGTGTTCTATAAGTGATATCTTATCTATCTATCCAGCATCCAGTTTATAATTAATAATATCCAAACTATTAAAATAAGATTTACCTTAACAAGGCAAGTAAACTTGATTGTTATTACTGCAGTGTACTGGTTATACCAGCAGAAGGCAGAGGAGGACAACATTAATGAGAGTAAACATCACTTTTCCTTCCTAAGTCAGAGTTCACTGTTAATTCACATTTTAAATGATATTGCTTCTATATTCAGCCAGGCTGTTGTGGTGGACCGCACAATGTACATCTCAGGACAGCTGGGAATGGACGTAGCATCAGGACAGTTGGTGGCAGGAGGAGTGCAGGCTCAGGCCAAACAGGTGACAAACGACAGCACCAGTAGATAGTTTTTACATTTAGATTAACATAGTTTGGAATAAATTAATCGTTTACAACAACACGAATTAGAACTTAAGTAAATGGAGTCCATTTTGATTTCATGCTGACTTTAATACACAAAGTACCATGTTTTATTACACAAAGTAGTAATTTTCACTAAAATGGGACACATGGTCTTAGTGCATGTTTCAGTGTTTTTTCCTCACAACTTTATAGGCACTCATTAACATGGGGGAGATTCTGAAAGCTGCTGGATGTGGATATGAAAATGGTACGTCATCAACCATCACCTACATGTCAGTTCTTCCATGCAAGGTTTCAGGCATTTCAAAGTCTGCTTTTTTCTGTTTTATTTTTTGCAGTTGTCAAGGCCACAGTATTGTTGGCAGACATTAATGACTTCAATAACGTCAATGATGTTTACAAGCAGTGTGAGTATGAATGAGAGCCACAAAGGCATAATTCACCACAGAGAGTCCCTAAACATACAACCATAAGTTTCCCTTAGTTTTAGTGGTCGTGGTAATTATAGAAAACCTCTTGGGAATGATATTAATGTATAATGTGTTCATTCTAAAAGTGTAGCAAAAATGACTATCAGTGTGTCCTTAAAGTCTTAAAATGTGTTAAATCCCTTAATGTAAAAATAACAGGGTTTCTGCGGGTCTTAAAAAGTCTTACTTCGCCCATACAGAAATTAAGGCCTTAAAAAGGTTTTAAATCAGAGACAAACGTCTTAATAGTGTAGTTTACCCCAAAATGCCTTAAGCCATCCCTTGTGTATATGACTTTCTTCTTTCAGACAAACACAATCAGAGTTATATTAAAAAATATCCTGGCTCTTCCAAGCTTTATAATGGGAGTGAATAGAGCCTCTTTTTTTAAGCTCCAAAAAGCGCATCCGTCCATCATAAAAGTAATCCATACGGCTGGGGGTTAATAAAGGCCTTCTGAAGCGATTAAATTCAAGTAAAAATTAAAAAGTAATGGTTATCTGTCGTAAGTTGTATTGTCAAACTTCTGAAGTGTTGCTAATACAACTCATTGTGTTTCTCCCTAAACATTTACATTTAGAGAACATATTGACATAGTTTTGACATATTGACATATTGAAATAGTTTTCCCATTAATTTATTCCTGACATTTTCTTTACCTGGTCTTAAAATAGCTTTAAATTTACCTTGATAAAACCTGCAATAACCCTGAATAAGGCCTTAATCAGCATCAAAAAGTCTTAAATCCACTATTTAAAGGTCTTAAAAAAACTGACACCGCAGTGAAGACTTAGGTTTCATTATCACTCTTTGTTTTTTGAAATCGTACGTAAAGCCGGTCTAATGCATAAAAGTGAATTAAAACAGAAGAATGATACTCCTGTCCTGATATATTTCTATTTGTATCCCCATATAAAAATGTATTATTATTATATTTTCAGTCCAATATTTAAATTACACGATAGATTTTTTAAAAATGATTCTTTAAAAATCATAATGCACAGAAATGTCCATTGTACATTTGTACTGTATATCTCTTTTGAGAGGGTGATTTTGTTTGTTCGCATTGAAGCCGATGGAAAGGATGTGCAGGTCTTAACATTATTTTGTGAAGGTCTTGAAAATGGTAATAAAAAGCATTATATTAGAAGTGTTGATACCTGATACAGATACGCTGGGTGTCATTTGTTTTGAAATTAAAACCAAGCATGGCAATGCGCTTTTTGTCAACATACCTTCCCTAAAAAACCTTCACTTCCCCTCCTGCACTCTGGCGGTATGCATTAAGCAGGTTATTGATTATTCAGATGTTACACAATGATGTGTCTGTGCAGTCCTTGGTATTTCCTCTTTAATACAATGCTGATGGGTAATCCTATCCTGTCTGCGTGTAAAGAGATACAGTGCAATTCTGTGAAACGAAAGCCTCCTCGCTACGAGGACAACCCATCATCACTGCCTCCTACCTCACAGAACTTTCCATGATGTGACATGCAAACCTACAGTGTTAACAAATACTCAGATTCATGTAACTTATGATGCAATTAATAATACATATAAACACAGGGATAAAGACCTGTTCACATCTAGAATGATAACTATTGCGATTAGCATCCACACCAGCGGACGATATCGTTCTGTTTATTATAAGCGCGTGCTCCAGTTTAGTCGTCTGCCACTTTAAAGGGATAGTTCACTTTGAAATAAATTTTTGATATGTTTTAGCTTACCTCAAGGGCATCCAAGATGTAGGTGTCTTTGTTTCCGCACAATTTTGATATTTTTAGGTCAAACCGTTCTTGTCTGTCAGTCATATAATGCCGGTCTATGGTAACTTCCTCAAAGAGTATGCACAGAGAAGTCCAAATTAAACATGATTTAATGACTCGTAAATGTAAGTACACATTGATGGCCTAAGACACGAAACGAGCGGTTTGTGTGAGAAAACGACAGTATTTATAGTTTTTACCTCTTGTAAACACAGCCACGTCCAAGTGATCTGAGGGCGTGGGCGCTTCGGTCTGTGGTTACAAGAGGTAAAAACGATATAAATACTGTTCGTTTTCTCACACAAACCGCTCGTTTCGTGTCTTAGGCCATCAATGTGTACTTACATTTACGAGTCATTAAATCATGTTTAATTTGGACTTCTCTGTGCATGCTCTTTGAGGTGGTGACCATAGACCGGCATTATATGACTGACAGACAAGAACGGTTTGACCTAAAATTATCAAAATTGAAACTACTGCGGAAACAAAGACACCTACATCTTGGATGCCCTTGAGGTAAGCTAAAACATATCAAAAATTTATTTCAAAGTGAACTATCCCTTTAAATGCGTGAGCTCTTTAAAGCAGGATGGATTCTGATTGGCTGTGAGTCTTTTTTGTCATTCGTCAGCTGGGGGAAAAACCGAAAAACATCACTGAAAGTGATTCTAGTTGTAGTTGTGGTGTGAACTCGGCTGTTCTTTTACATTTAGAACGATTTTTAGAACACTTTCTTATCGTTTGCTGGTGTGAACGGGCTTTACAACTCTGTTTTTCATGTCACAAGAACTGCAGTAGTCAACCATGTAAGATGGTGCTTATAGATAGGATATAGGATATAGCTTATAGACACACAAGGTGTCAAATTTAACCTTACTGGCGGTCATCTTTGTCATCAGTAAAGAACCTAGAGTTTACCATTGTCTGACTTTCTTTTTTCATTTCTTTGTTTCTTCCTCTTAGTTTTCAAGAGCAATTTCCCAGCTAGAGCTGCCTATCAAGTATCCGCGCTGCCCAGAGTAAGTATTAAGCGCAGGTTAGTTAGTGGTGTTTGCTAAGCCAACCAGCTAACTACACATTACCGTTCAGAGGTTTGGGCTCAGTAAGATTTTTTTTATAGAGAAATACTTTAATTCAGTTGATCAAAAGTGACAGCAAAGACTTTTACAATGTTACAAAAAAATGTATTTCAAATAAATGCTGTTCTTTTGAACTTTCTATTCAGCAAAGAATCCTGGGGGGGGGGGGAAATCACGGTTTCCACAAAAATATTAAGTAGCACAACCGTTTTCAACATTGATAATAAGAAATGTTTCTTGAGCAGCAAATCAGCATATTAGAATGATTTCTGAAGGATCATGTGACACTGAACACTGTAAATTCAGCTTTGCCATATAAATAAAATGAAATTTTAAATTGAAAACAATAATTTTAAACTGTACTAATATTTCACAAAATTATAGTTTTACTGTATTTTTGATCAAATAAATGCAGCATTGGTGAGCATAAAAGGCTTCTTTCAAATACATTTGGGGGAAAAAACAGATTGTTCTCCAAACTTTTGAACAGTAGTGTAAAATATTATATTTTGGCATGTAACCCATCCAACACTGTTTGAGCTATGGATATGAATGATACCTCAAATCATATGACTTCTAGAGGAGAGGTGCACTGTTCCTTTTTTAAGTGATCAACTCACTAAAAGGGAGAAAATCCCATAAACTTTCATTGAAGGAGGGACCGGCAACATATGTAGAAACCAGAATGTCATTAAGACTTAAGGTGAGCTCTTTTTACTTGAGCCAGTAAGCAACCACATAGCAACACCCTGGCAACCACCCTTGCATCATTTCAGTGACTTTTACATGGCCACCACCACTCAAATTTTCTTCTGAAAATGTACAAATCTAGTTGATTATATATGATTATAATAGATTAAGATACAAATATTGCAATAAAATATATTATTTGTATTCATACCTCATTTTAATTTCACTTTGTTTTTCAGGGGGGGCTTGTTGAGATTGAGGCCGTCGCTGTGTTGGGACCCATCACAGATGCCTCCTGACTATATGACCCCAGCATGCATCACAAATTGTAAATATAGTTTTATGGAGACTGCATCCAAGATTACAAATTACCAATTTGTAATCTTTAAAATAAAATCACCAGAGCCGGACAGTAACGGAGTACATTTACTTGAGTACAGTACTTAAGTACAATTTTGAGGGATCTGTACTTTACTCGAGTATCATTTTTGGGGAGTACTCATGACTTTACTCAAGTACATTTGAGAGGCAAATATTGTACTCTTTACTCCAATACATTTCTATCCATAACCGTGAGTACCCGAGTAAAAAAACAAAAAAAAACGTTTGTTTCCCTCTCAAACGTGATTGGATTGTGCAGGCGCCACTGATTGGGACAGCCTATCAGCAATCACTTTCAGCTTTCCGCCAAAGTCAACTCCATGGTCAGATTTTATATTACACATTAATGTAAGATTTGATGTTCTTGAGTATGTGGTGTGTTTAACACAGTCAGGTTCAAATGTGGCAGTGGTGTAGCCACGAGGGATTTCTGATTTCTTAAAAAAAAAAACTTTAGGAGGCAAAATATATTTTTACTGATTATGTGAATTACACTGCGCAAACCAAAGTAGGCTACTACCCAGCGAATGAAGAAGGGTTGGCGCTCAGTCTCCACAGTACATAAAATATTCATTTTGTTTTATTTTATTTTTCGGGTTTGCATTTATGAGGAAAAAACAATGTTATGGACGTGTTCTCCGTTACGGACGTGAGCGCTCTGAAAGCGGCATAAAAAATGCTTTAAAACTTTCACAGAGACATCAAACAGAAAACACAAAACCTTTCTTTAACCTGAATTTCGTTTTGCATTAATTGTATCTTAATTTGAATCAATGTTTCATCAACCACTTGCCTGGGTTTAATAAATAAGAAGTAAATAGCAGACGATAGATAAGAAACGGAGGCGCTGGCACGTGAACTGGATCTCGTCTCATAAATGAACCGAAACTCAGTGTATAAGGTAGCCTACTTGCCTCTCACAGACATGTCTACTTTTAAACAGAAAAATTCAAAACGAAAGAAAACAGACTACAGACTGCTCTCTGCTTATGTAATCCGTATGAAATGTGCATTTCTCTCTGGCGCGTTCACTACTGAAGATCGCGAGTCAGCATCGTCAACTTCATCTAGCCGACACTGACAAAGAAAACACTTGTTTATTAACAAATAAAATATCTCCTTGCTATATTTTACATATTCATAATCATTCCTTTTGCCGGTTCTTTGTGACAGCTTTTTGGTGCTTTATTGGCAGCGGCACCCTTACATGTGGTGTGTGTGTGTGTGTGTGTGTGTGTGTTGTCCCCGCATTTAAAGATGGGACCCCCCAAAAATTGAATTAAATTAAATAAAGCAACATGGTAAAAAGATGAAAATGACTTGATTTTACTTTCAATTCCTTTTACATTCTCCAAGGTATTAACATTAACATTTTTCATAACTCCATGTAGGACGTTTCTGTGCATAAATGTAAGCACTGTGGCATTAGATTAGTAATGCAATATTTAGAAAATCTACTCTTGTACTCTTGATACTCAAGTACTTTTTAAAACAAGTACTTTAGTACTTTTACTTAAGTAGACATCTGAATGTAGTACTTTTACTTGTACTTGAGTAAAATTTAGCAAGGGGTATCTGTACTTTTACTCAAGTAACAAAGCTCTGTACTCTGTCCGCCTCTGAAAATCACCAATAAAAGCATTCCTTTCCATGGGCAATATCTTCTGTTGCATTCTTGCTAATATTATCATGATATTGAAATTTTACTATTACTTTGTGAATTTACTGTTGATCTTTCATCATTAAATACACTTAATCTATAATAGCAACCATTCAAAACCCAGTTCAAGTAAAACTTTATTTTTAAACTCCTACAAATCTGTCATTATCCCGCCACACATTACATTTCCTCCATTTGCAAAGTTCAGTTCAATCTGTTGTTTGTTGAAGGAAAACATTTGCATGTAATAAATAAAACAAATAAAGGCCTATTTTTTACATATTTTTTTCCATTGTCACTGTAAATGTATATAACATGCATGGATTTTACTGATCACTGTAACAGTTCAGTTGATTAAAATATTGCATTATATAAATATCACATTTACTTTCACAATTTTCATATTTTCTTTGGCTTTTTCGCATCTTTATCTAAGGGTAAAGCCACTAAGAAGAGGCACCAATATGAAATATTAATAACTATTGAAATCTCTAAATAACGCCAGCAATTATTATTGTACTTTGTGTTCTTATTCTGTGTATATAAAGACAGGCAAAAAAGTCTTTGACTTTGACTAAAGAGTCTTTGAAGACCAGTTGGTCTATTTCTTGGCAACGAACAAGCAATAATAATAATAAATAAACTAATGTTCTATTGTATTTTTAAACCATTCATGTGAAATCCTGATTTTATTGTGGTTGAATCTGGATTCTGTAGTAACTGTGTCAATTGTTGCACACTTAACTATCTTCACCAGAGGCTGAAAGAGATGAAGTGGTATGGGAAATCAATCAGATAAGACATTTATCCTCAAGAGATACTAAAATGTTTAGGTCTGTGTTGAATTATATAACCCTACTTACCAGGTGCTTCCTCTGGTGGGGAGGAATCTGCCTGGTCCTCAGTTGTGTTTTCTGTGGAAATATAGATTTATCTAATTAATTTATTGTTTTAGGCTTTAAAACTCGCATGATAAATAAAATAATATAAAAATAAACTGAAATTGTTATACATATTATACATTTAGCAGTCTTCTGAGACCATTTGGCAATTGTTTCTTTTCAGGACTTGTCCTGTGTGTTTATCTTCTCTGGTTTCTCAAGTTGTACTTACTAAAACTAGTTTTAAACCCTTTTTATTATTTCTTGCTGCATTCTGGTATGTATTCTGTTCTGTGGTTAGTCATTATGTATTTGTCAATGTCAACGTTTTTCCACATTGCAGCCAAGATATTTGCATCGGTGGATAAATTGTCATTCACATTTGAAATTCAGATAATGAGTCATGTTGTGGCCCTCACCACCATTAGGATTTGACCAAAATAACTATGGTTAAAGATGAAAAGAATGCATACATTTTTTTTATTCAATTATTTATTGCACAGGTTTTCAAACCCCTGAGACTTAAAAAAATGGGTTGCCAGGATGATTTAGGAAAATGTGATTTTAATCAATATATATATATGTATATATATATATATATATACATACAGTATGTATATAACAAAGTTCAAGACTCAGAGGAGGAGGGACCAGCAATAACTTTAATAACAAAATAAACAAACAACAAAACGAAAGTAAGTGGCAGCCGCCTCATGGCCAACTGTCGCAAAACAAAACGTAAAGTCCTAGGCCTGGCAAGTACCAAAATGAGTGGCTCACTGCGCTTAAACGGTCAAATACACAAAATTATGTCAAAATACCTGTCTTGGCGAGAACTCAGTTAAACGCAGTCAGTTTTGGAACGTAAATAGTTGAAAAATGTAAATGTAATATAAAAATTTAGTTAAAATGTTGTGTAACAGTATTTTGGATCCGCGAATAAGCTCAATCTCGCTCTGAAAACGAAGTGAATATTTAATGACTACAATGGTAATTTCTCGCCAGAAATGACATCATAAGTGGAAAAAAAAACTTACATTTACACACAAACTGACAACCAGCCGCAACTTTCAGACACCATCTTTAATTTTGGCACTCAACTGACAAGCACAGGATTGTGGGATATCAAAGGCAGCAAAGGATAGATCTATGCTGCCTTCAAAAATCGATCAAATTAAGGAATCTCAGGAGACGGGAAGTGAAACTAACACTGCATTCAGACGTGCCTTGATGCCTTCCGACCTTGGAATGCGTCCTTCGAAGGCAGCATTTATCAGTTTTCAGACACAGCCTATATATTTGTAAGGCTTGACTTAATTCCATGTAAATGGTTGTATATATGCTACTGTATGGGTCACGCCAATTTAAAAAAGAAAAAAGGGTTGCTCATAAAAAAAGTTTGAAACCCACTGATTTATTGCATATTCACATAATTACAAAATGAAACCTGTCAGTCTAAATGAAACCTGGCTTTCGTTGCCAAAATCTTATCTTTTCTTTCTCAAGGTTTAGTTCTCCTATCCTTTGTTAGACAAGCAGATGGAATAATTTTTATTTCATAGAAACCCTCAGTTCGGTAACCAGGGCTGGAAAGTGAAACTAAGCCGGGCAGTGTTGTACTCCTTGGTTATGGAACAGTCAGTAGGACACTTGTCAGGAAACTAGAGTTAAACAAACACACTATTACCAATTTAAACCACTGCCATCACCTTTCACTTGAAGTGTGAAGTTAAGTATGAATGTGTAAATATGGTGCTTTAAATTTTTACAATTATACAAAGTTATTTGAGGAAGTCTTCATTGCTAAAAGAGAATGTGCAAGGTGTTTTGCATCTAGAGATACGTCCCTGGTAACTAGCTAAACCATTTGCATACACAAGCACAGAACACAAGGTATAATGTATCTTGATCTTGAGAAGAATTCGTTTAAGGACGGGTTTTTTGAGGACACTTCACTCACTGAAAATGGCAGAAAAGTGACTTTAGTCTTGTTGTCTAAAAATTTGAAACATACCACTTGGTGCTGGTGCTGGTGCTGGTTCTTCAGTATTTTCAGCTGTCATGGAGGGGTTGGATTCCGCAGGTTCAGACATGATGGCCTCAGCAGCAGCTGCTTCTGGTTCACTGTGAGCTACTGCAGCTGTAGAGCTCTGTATTTCCTCTGAGTGAACAGGAGCTGCACTGGATGTCTGTGGAGACTCCTCGGCCTGGGTTTGGTCTGGAATGGTCTCACTGTCTGCTGCAGGACCCCCATTTTCATTACTTGTCCCTTAGAGATCAAGACAAATATTTTAACCAAGTTTAAAAGCATAATAAAAAATGACTACTTGAAATGAAAGAGAAATGTTTTAATTAATCTAGTTGCCGAGTAAGTTTGGTAATCGAAAATCAATTCCAACTCTGGAATCGGATACTTAAAGGGATACTCCACCGTTTTTTCATATTAAACTATGTTATTCCCTTAACTAAGACGAGTTGATGCATACCTCTCTCGTCTCAGTGCGTGCACTACATCGCTCTGGCGCGCAAGACACTTTGTTAGCACTTAACTAGCCCAGTTCATTCATTAGGATCCAAGCAGAAAAGCAACCAAACACCTCCACGTTTTCCCTATTTAAATACAGTTACGCGAGTAGTGTAACTCGACCAAGAATGGTGACACACAATAAAACATTGCGCTTTTCTAAGCGTGTAAAGTGGATAACTAATGTATGGCGGAATACCATAGCAAGTGCTTGGGAGCACTTCAACTCGGCTATAATCTCATACATTATAGTTATCCACTTTACACGCTTAGAAAAGCGCAATGTTTTATTGTGTGTCACCATTCTTGGTCGAGTTACACTACTTGCGTAACTGTATTTAAATAGGAAAAACTTGGAGGTGTTTGGTCGCTTCTCTGCTTGGATCCTAATGAATGAACTGGGCTAGTTAAGTGCTATCAAAATGGCTCGCGCGCCAGAGCGATTGAGTGCACGCACTGAGACGAGAGAGGTATGCATCAACTCGTCTTAGTTAAGGGAATAACATAGTTTAATATGAAAAAACGGTGGAGTATCCCTTTAAGGTCAGGAATCAGATACTTGTTGTTTCGATTCTGCTTATCGAATCCTGTGAGCGCATTTTAATCTTGTTTTAAACCATTCAAGCGTAAGAAGACGCGAAAGAGAACAATTCGGTAATTGGTGCTCACGCTGTTTTCTGTGCTGGGAACATCCAGAGCGTGCGCACAGAAAGCTGCATCTCAAATAGTGCACAAAAACTGAATTGAGTTCTCTTTTGAGTCTTCTTGCGCTTGAATGGAAAAATACACACAATTAAGTCAAAATATCCTCATAAACACAGTCGGTTATGTTTTAAGCAAACATAAACAGTTGAGAAAGCCTAATAAACCTGCTGTCATCTGTGCCATTGCTGATAATCAAAGAGCAAAAGAAAAAGAAAATCACTCACTGATCTTGACTGAATAACTTTTGTAAATTTAATAAGGATTAATCTTTATCGTATTTAGAAAGAGAAAACTGCAGTGTTGTTTTACATTTGATTTTAATTTCTGAACTTAGTTGTATTTGTGCTTTTGCTAATTTGCTTATTTGTTCTTATTGTATTAGAGCCCGTTCTCATCCCAAGGCGTAATATACTGACTCTTTTGCCAAAGCGTCTATATCCAACGCACATGGCACCCTTTAGCGTCATATGAGACGCAGATATATGGCGGCTCCTAGTGGTCTAACCCTAACACTACCCCAGACCTAAACCTACCCAAAACCGAAGCGTGTTATATTGACGCTAAAGGGTGCCATATGCGTTGGACATAGACGCTTTGGCAAAAGAGTCAAAATATTACGCTTTGGGATGAGAATGCGTTGTGTATTACTGACTGTACTAACACTTGTCCTTATAATGTTTGAAATTTAAATTAGTTAGTCTAGTTTACTGCTGTTTTTTTTTTTCATGGTATTTAGCTGCAACAGAATGTTTTCCAAAAAGACAGAATAAATATGTTTGATATCTAAATGTTTGACTTCTTTCTTTTTTGCTTTTCTTTTTTGACCATATTCGAATGGAAACTGGGAATCCGTAAGAATTGGAATCGGAATCATTAAAATTCAAACAATACCCCTATTGCCAAGGCAACATTTGTCATGTTCTTTTAGTTTAATTTGAAGTACTCAAATAACTAAAACTAAATAAAACTTACAACTTTATAAAAACTATAAAAAAAACTAATATATTTTTTTTTAAAACACAAAATTAACAAAATTCCTAAAACTTTAAAATTAAAATATAAGCAAAATATAAAACATCTAATTGAAAATATTACCAAAAGCCATAATAGTATATCAACGATACTAAAATCACACTGATTTTTCATTTAAAAAAATCTAAAATAATATTAATAATGGTTTAAAAAAATAGAAGTGGTTTAAAAAAAATAGAAGTGTTTTTTTCACTATTATTTCCCTCATATTATCGGTCACATACAGTATGTTTAGGCATATTAAATGGAGTACAACTAGGCCTGCATAGAATCTGTGACAACAAAATTCCATTGAAAATTCCACAAATTTCCACAGATTCAAACAGCCGTCATTCACATTCCTTATTTAATTGCATTTTAGTGTCACCGAACAGAATTACAAAAATAATTGTTTTCAGACAGGTTACCGCAACAATTACACACCTCAATTTAAATTTATTTTGAAAATGCTTTCATCTTCCAAACCGAGTTCAGTATACTCAGCTCTGTTCAACACATTTTACTATATTTAAATAATTTCCACAGAGTTCACATTTCATTAACAGAAATATGACAAACATCTGTTATGTCATTTCTCTCTTCTCTTCTGTGTATCAAGTGTCGATAAGGTACAAGACAACTCTTTATAAGCCTACTTTAAATTCAACAGTAACCCTCCAAACTAAAGCCTGGTATAATCTATTATTGAAGCTGCACTGTTAATAGTTAAATGAAAATTAAATAAACACATTGACATCCTGGTTAAATAATGAAAACTAATGTAACAACAGGTGCTGAAGAAAAGGGATGTATTAAAACAGGCAAACTAGCAAAGGTTTGTGACATCATCAGCCATCTGTGATCTAAAGTACACAACATTTACATGAAACCTTCTTCTCAGATCCGGGAGGAACCCACTTTGTTTAAATGTAACCATTAGCAGGGTGGCATGCATCACCACCCCCGAAGGAGCACCTGAGGTGTGGAGGACCTCCTCTGATCACCAGAATGTTTTTCCTCAAATTCCAAGAAATCACCATAGAAACACTGTGATGGTTCAAGAAACAAACACAGCAACAAAACAAAATACACATTTCCCTAATTTGTTTGACAAATTGAATTCAATACAACTAAATTCAAAGTTCTATTCAAATGCAGTTGTTATTTGTATAGCACTTTTTAAACACGTATCAGTTGATGAATGCTCACGAGATTGCAATCATCATCAACATTTTGTTAAAAGGAATGTAAACATAAAGGAAAGAGTTTAATGAGTAACCGTAACCGTTTATTTGAAGCATTTCACCATTTATAATCACATTTTTGGTACTGAAGTGTGAAATTTTGTTCCTCTAGCAGCTCAATGCAACACCAAAGTTATGTTTGTGATTAGGTAAAAACACTATAGGATAAAAACATCTATCAGATGCTAAATATAAAATGTAAATGTAATATACGGGACCATAAAAATGGAATGCATGATAGTTATAAAATAACTGTACTGTACATCACAGTGTTCCTAATGTTAATAATTTAAAGCCAGTTATCAAATTGCTATTTGAAATTTTCACCTTAGCCATAAAAACATAATTTTTCTTGTAACTTTCAGTTAAAGTCTAATGGTTTAGGATCTGGGCATGGCGTTTAACCTTTGGTTCCTCCATGGGGACTTTCAATGTAATGAATACTGTAAGTTTCTCTATGAGAGACGCTGGAGTCATGTAGATCTAAACTGCATGTCGGGCTGATGACAGCATTCTGGATAGGGATCTTGGGTGCCTTACACAAAGGTTGAGGGTTCAATTTCAAGTTAGGTTGACCTAGGGTCCGAAAAGTAACTAATGCCAAATTTACACTGCAAAGGTGGCGTAGAAGCACTTCTGAAGTGGCATTACAATTGAAGATTGCAATCTTCCTCTCACTTAATGATCTACAATGCATTTTAGCATGATCAAAATACACTAAATACCAGAAATTCTTCCTTCTCATCATGAAACACCTTGCAAATCAACAATATTTGACAAAATATAGCTCAAAAATGTGAGTTTTTGGGCTGTATAGTCTTACCTGATGTGCTCCCATCATGTTTGGTGTTGGGTCGTGTTGTGTCTTGAGCTGTGGTCTGAGTGCTGGAAGTGCATCCCATCGTGTCTTCCTCTGACAGGACAAGAGTGAGTGAGTCAAGTCAAGCACTTTGGTGAGTGTTGTCGAGCCCAGCGGCGCGCATCGACTTCAAATGCAGGAAGACTGCGCTAATTTAAAGCGCACTCGATATAGACAGCAGTCATTCCCTAACCAGGTAACACATTGGGTGAGTGTGTGGGAATGACAGTCATATGCAAACTAGCCCTTATTCTCTCGGTAACAGGTCACGGTTCAATGCTAAAACAGCAGTGAACTCCTGTCTTCTCTGATTAAAATGATCAGTATTTTTGTTAAGAAATGATAGGCTATGTGACACTTTATGTTTTAACCTCAGTTCTAAAAACCAAAATATCGATTTAAATCTGTTAACATCCGTTTAGTGAGAGAGAAAATGTACTCTAACTTAAAACATGACATCACTTACTTCATGTGTAATGATTTTGGCGACATCTACAGGTGACTTCTGGAGTAGCACTGGCCAACCCAAACTTATGTCATAAAAACTGTAGAAGACAACATCTTGATACAATGAATACTCCTACCTTCCATATCTAAATCTACAACTATGGTGGATAATGTCAGTGCACAAGGCCCTATTAGCTTTATGAACTTCTAACCCTATAACCACTGTAGGTAAAGAGACACATGATAAATTAAAGGTAATCACACATAGCTTTTCCACAAGCTGAAGTAAATACTATATTGAATGTGCACAGTTTCATGCACATAAATACAACACACCACCATGGTAATGTGACCTTAAAATAATACTATACACTTTTTACAGCCTACACCATAAGTTGTAACACAACCCTAAAGGGTTTTAATGTAAAATACCATTGTCACACAATTGTTGCAATAAAAACAGTAGGCCTAAATAAAATTGCAGGATCTAATCGCTTGCAGTTCTTTTATTAAAACAAACTTAAAATGACTCTTCTTCAAGAATATTTTAAATGAAACCGAACAACCACTTATAATGAGACGAGAACTGACAGAGGGCTATACACAGGGAATATAGGGACCGAACTAGATAATTAACAAGACACAGGTCTAACACATGAGAACAAACCAAACACTATGGCAACAGATGAACAAGAACATAGTGCAAACCCAACTGAGGGTAGTCTACGTTTACACAACAATGATGTTCTAAAAACGTAAACGTAGACGTTGTCAAAACGATCCCGTTCACATTGATCTGTGAAAATGACTATAAAAATCACTGCAATATGCATGCCAGGCCAGTTTGGCGAAGTCACTTTGTGAAGAAAAACTATGCGTACCATTTTCACAAATGTGCTTTTTTGTAGTTTACACAGAAACGAAAACGGGATCGTTTTCAAAAACTTGCACTTTTTCAAAAGTTTGCATTTTCAGCCCTCCAAAATGCCATTGTCGTGTAAATGAACGGCCAAAACACATAAAAAGTGTTCCGTTTTACAGTGTCGCGTAAATGGCCCCTCAAAGTCCAAAAACACTGGCAGAACGTGACAACCATGAAATGTAAAGTCACGCAGGTAATTGTCAATGTCAGTTTATGTTTTTTTCATAAATTAAAAGATTACTTCCCAAATCTGTTCATTTAATAGTATTTTACTGTAAAAAAAAAAAAAAAAAAGTTAAACGTCTTGTTAGATGCATTCTTGCCATAATTTTCAGGACACTGTCTTTTTGTATTGAAGCACCATACCGAAAAGTGGTACAGGAAACACTGCTTACATTTATATACTGGGATAATTCTGGGCCACCTTGGATCCACCCCTGTTCTTTATGTGCCATATAAATCTCAGGAAACATAGGACCCTGGGAACAGGTATGCTCAGTGTTAATTGGCTGAAGTTGATGTTTTTAAGATTTTATTTTATTTTAGTTAATGTTTGTTTTATTTCAAGTAATATATTTTTTAATGGTTTTAGTTAACGATAAGTGGTCCACAGACAGGCATCCACACCTATTAATACCAGAAACTCAAAACTTGTTTGCAAACGGAAACAGACTTATAGTGTTGCTTTTAAACTTGATCCACTAAAACTTGTGATTTATACATTTAGAATCTGTTGATTTGTTTAAGTGTCTGTGAACTGGATATTGACATTTTATTTATTTTTAAACAGTAGCCTATAGATGATTACTTTGTGGTAATACAAGTGTTCGGATATTCACATGAATGTGTATGCCAAGCCATAAACTACGTACAGGTTAGGGTCCATATGCCAGCCCCCTTGCCATCCTATAAATAATTTTCTGCTCTTATTGCATTCAAATAATGAGGACATTTATATTTGTTGGTTAGAGTTAGGGTTACAACTAAAAACGTTGCATGAGAAGCATTTAACTATATTCTGTTTGTTGTCTTGAAACACAATGACATTCCAATAAATTGACAAATATTCTTAACATTGACTAAATCATGTTTAATTAAATAATAATATGCTTTAATCATTCTCCATACAAAATGTTTAAGGAACCCCTAATATAAAATGCAATGAATTTAACAGTGTAGAATAGATGTTTGCCATTCATTTGGATTTGTTTGTGTTTTTGCAGTGTGTTCTGGGGTCAAATTGCCCCAAAAAGAAGCAAATTGACTGGATCACGCTTTTCTAAACATGCATGATACATATTTGTACGAAAACAAATCCTTCATGCAAAAATAAGGTGCAAAACAAAAATTGTATATGCCTTTTTAATACAATATGGAATTTCATCCCTATACACACTTGTCCTCTATTTTAAATATGATGAATGAAGTTCTTTTTTCTCTCCATAAACACACACACCACTTATTCAACTTTTGCAATTATGAAATCAATAGACTAAACAAATCTGACATATAAGGCAGCACAAACATGAATTAAAGAGAAAGGAAATTCCAAATGTGAACATTTTCAACAAGGCATAAGCCTACATCTTTTTAAGCAGAAGGCCATAAGGGCGGATTGAACTCTCCACTATTTGTTTCTCATCTTCAACTGATGTGCCTTCAGGGATAGGGACCAACCAAATGTCCTTGGTCTTTTTTTCTCGAATCTGGGGGTTGATTCGGTTCTGCATGATGACTTTGTAAGTATTTCCATTCTTTTGCGAAATGAAGTTCTTGGTTTTTGCGAACACGTCTGCCACGTTGATGTCTGGAGATGAATAAATACCTCTTCCGTAAGCCTGACGGTCTCCTGACATATACTGAGACTGTATGATGCCCTCAGCCCCCTGGAAGTCTGTCCCGTGGTAGGAGACTGGCCACTCACCGGGCGCGGACCTGCTCCTCCATCCTTCTGTTCCCAGCCAAGTGTTCCTGTCCGGGTATTTGTCTCGCACCTTCAGCGCGAATCGCATCCACTCGTAGGGCCGTTGGTACGGCTCGTCCCCGCGCATGCAGGCATCAACGTTCGGCTTGGACATGTTCGTAAAGTCAAAGTCAAACTTCGGATCGAAAAAGTCATCTGAAATCACAAATAACTCCTTCCGGAGAGAAGAGCTCGCGCTTTCGCTTCTCGGGGTTTCTTGTGATTTTTTCTTATCACCAACAAACAACCGCGACAGAGAAGAAGTCAGACAAGTCACTGGTTCATTTTTAAGAAGGGCAAGAGTTGTCAGTTTGGCAATTTGCAGTTTAATTGCTCCATCTAAATCGTTGCAATCTGACTGCAATTTCACAGTGACTCCCAGAATGGCAGAGAGCGCCTCAGTCAAGATATATTTGTCCACTTCCATCGCGTTAATCGAACTTATCAAGATCTCTGATCTGTTATGAAACAACGTGTAACACAGGAGGTTTTCAGTCTGGGAGTGAGGACCCAGATTTTTACACATTTGTATGTCCTGCTTATTTAGCACACCTGATTACAATCATCATCTCATCGGGACCGTGACTGGAAACCATGCTTTCAAAAGCAGAGGATCAACCGTCAAGTTTTTAAAATTAAGGGGGTAGCCTTACATCAAAGAAAAGAAGACTATGAAATTAGGTGAAATAGTATTTGCAACAGGCAATTAAAGGACAACTTGCTAAAAGGTAAACCATCATTCTCTGGATATAAACATTTGCCATAATTATAAGGATATGGGGATTTTATCATCATGACATTGTTTTGGGTCATGAATTTTATTATCAGAATACAACATACAATTTATTATTAGATTCTGAAAAGTACCTTTGTTGTAAAATGAAAAGATAAAGCTTAAAGAAAAAATAGGCTATCTGACCAGGACTGAGACTTTTTACACGTTAATAAAAGTCTAACAAAGACAGTTAAGTTTTTTTTCTTTAAAAAACTTTATTTCAGCTGTACAATTTCATGTCAACTTTTTGAGAAAAGATAGGCCTAAAATATATCTCATTATTCAATGATATCATAATCATTATTGAACTTTTTTCAGAATACATAATTGATTAAGAAATGTAAAATATGTTTATTTATTTGACTTTTGAACAAGAAAAAGGTAGAGTGAACATGTCACTAACCTGCCTTCACGTGCTATTGGAAATACCTTTTTACGATTACTGATTACAAGCTCAACGCATTCCAATTTTGACTCGAGAGGGCGTTCATGTCCAATGTTTTAACCAGGAAAATAGCATTTATGATAACCCCGATAGCACGTGAAGGCAGCATAAGTAGAACGCTGAAGTAGGCTAGTTGTGCAAGTCATAGCATTGCCCTGTTTCAATGGAACATTTCTTAAATAGGCCTAATGGTCTTTGGTACTTTTGTATTTTGAAATGTCTTCTGCTAGACTACAGTAAGAAAAGCAGGTATATCGAAAACACCAGTGCTGGATTAATAAACTATTTAATTATATGGTAATGAACATCTCTTTAAGCAAAATTCAATGTCAGAAGATTTGAAAAACACCAGTGCTGGATTAATAAACGATTTCATTTTATACGGTAATGAACATCTCTTTAACCAAAAGTCAATGTCAGAAGATTTGAAAAACACCCTGCTGGATTAATAAACGATTTAATTGTATATGGTAATGAACATCTCTTTAACCAAAAGTCAATGTCAGAAGATTTGAAAGTTGAAACTTTAATAGCCTATCCTATTGTTTGCCTTCCACCTCTTTAAGCAGAAGGCCATAAGGCCGGATTGAACTCGCCACTATTTCTTTCTCTTTCGCAGCAGATGTGCCTTCAGGAACACGGACCAACCAAACGTTATTTCCCCCGATAATGTCCCTTTTC